GGTGCTTGAATGATCCAGGGGGTGGTAGTAACCTTGGGTACAACTGGAGGGCATTGAATAAAAATAAGGTAGCTAAGAAGAAAATTTTGAAAAATCATTCATACGTTTCATCTGCTCTATAACCAAGTTAAAGTCATTACATTATTTTCCAAATAAAAACACAAAGTGCAAGTTATAACTGATCAGTGGTCAAGTCCGCCAACAGGTCTTAACAAGCAAATGTTGGCAGGCGACCGTGGTGTCACATTGTTGGGAAGTCCAGCATGCATCAGCAGGAATATGTGCATGTAATGACTTGTTTAAGATACAATAGTATATGGTTACATGACACAATATTGTGTCATCAAAATTTCAATGCAGGAAAAAACCAACAAATTTATAATAAATTATTAAATTTAAGATGCGTCATTTTTTCAAGAAAAATTATTTTTTAAATGATGCAGTTTTTTTTTCAACTGTTAAAAGGGTTAAAGAAAGTAGATTTCCAGAGGAGAGTTGAGTACTTTTTTTTAAAAGAGGGTGGTAAGCCAAATAAGTTTGGGAACCTCTGCTCTAGCGTCACAGGTGGAAGTAAGAGATGTAAGTGGGTAGGATTATTAGATTTGGAACTGAGACAATAAACATCATCCAGCCTGACCCCTTCATTTTCCAGAGGAAAAAACTGAGGCCTAGGGAGGTAACTGATTTGTCCAAGGTCAAGAGGTAGACACGAGGGTGTTAACCTTCATGGGACCAAGTACCAAGTAATCAGGCTGCCAGTCAAAAAGAGTAAGGCTCAAACCTATGTCTCATTTTTATTCCATGCCACAAATTGACTTTCCAAGGACTTTTGTGTCTGCTGAAGACAGTCCCTGGTGTTCTTTTAGCTAAAGAAACCAGTGAAGGTAGGAAGAAATGAATCAGTATGATGGAGGGATATTTTTGTTGACTGGTAAAAACCTAGTTGGTTATATGGCACCCCAAGGTTTCAGGCCTTTCATAAAACAGCCTATATTCTGGATCAACTCTAGCTGGGCTGCCCCTGCAGCAGCCCTTGTGAACAGCCTCAGGCTCTCTCATCTCGTTACCTGGACTCAGTTCTATACCCATGGGTTGGGTCATACAGCAGTTCTTGGAGCTGCTATTTGCCTCTATTCATCATTAAAAGGAATGAGGTCAGGAGACTGACCTGATGGCCTATGGTCTGTTTTTTCCCTTTCCATATAGGAAACATGGACCGTCACCATTATGAAATGTTCACCAAGTTTGGGGATGATGGATTCCTCATTCACCTGGATAATGCCAGAGGGTAAGAGACATTCCTTGGGTCTGGTCCCTTCTATCCCCACTACCAAAAAAAGAAAAAAATCCTCTTTGCTCCACACCAAAATATACCCTCAAACAATTCTGAGAATTCCCTAAGTCCCACCAGAAAAAGGACAAGGCATTTGTGTGCTCCTCCCCAACACCCACCCTATAGGTTACCATTCACTAGAGGCTTTGCAACTTCACAGTAACTCCATAATCTAATAAACATATTTTTCTGGTATTAAAAATATTCTATTTATAAGAACATTTTAGAGTCTGTTTTGGTTCCTATATGGCAACTTACCTTTACTATCCCTAAGGCTCAGGCTCAAAGAGGGCCCTTGCTCCTCCCATTCACCCTTTCCGCATTCCCTTTTTTCTCATTCCCTTCTTTCTTTACAAGTTCTTTGGAGAAAAGACCAACTATTGTCCCTCCAACCTGTGAAGTCTAATTTCCCCAAGAGGTGGGAGGTGGGTATGGACTTTTAATTACTATTTTCATTGTAAAAGTCTATAAGGTAGTTAAACTCTCATAGATTTCTGTATTTCTCACTCCTTTGGGTTTTTTTTCAATAACCAGATGGGAATTGTCTTTGAATTTCAGTGGGTACAGTTTCTGTTCAAGATTATTCCCCACATCAACTTGGTCTTTCAGATATCCTGACTCATGTTTCAATCTTTCCTTAATAATAAAAGCAATGACCACGAAGTCACATAACTTAGTCATTGATTTTTTTTTCCCCTGGTGTGTCAATTTAGAAAAGCTAGGGGGAAAGTGGTGCAATGAATAGAGCACCGGCCCTAGAGTTTGGAGGACCTGAGTTCAAATCAGACTTCAGACACTTACTAGCTGTGTGACCCCGGGCAAGTCACTTAACCCCGATTGCCTCCAAAAAAGATAAAAAAAAGCTGAGGGAAAAAAGGGTGGGGAGAGGTAAAATATTTGTCATGATATCATGTCCCCAGAGAATCCTAATTCACCCGCAATTTCTCCTCTTAGGTTTGGGCGACATTCCCATGACGAGCTCTCCATTCTCTCACCCCTTTCCCAGTGCTGCGTGTAAGTATTCTTTCATCCTCCAAAGCAGTTAAGCACTATAACAGGTGGCCAGAAGGTCTCTGAAACCCAGAATTTATTCTTATGGATTTGGACAGGGCATAAAGCAAATGAACTCAATGTCTCTTTCTGCCTTTCCCTTCTGTGACTGATCAGAAACACTTTACATCACTAGTAGTCACTTTTTGTAAAGTGCTTAGCACAGTGCCTAGCACATAGTAAGCACTATATAAATGCTGTTATTACTATTGTTAGTTCTTTAGAACAATCACCTACTTGAAGGACACCAAGAAAACTCTGAATGTTGTTAACAAGTCCACTGCTTTTCCCAACATTAAAAATCAGGTCATAAGCACTGCTCTTTTAGTCCTAAACAATTGCCCTAAATTAAATTCTTCAAAAAGGCGATTGGAGTCAAATTGGAGCAAAGTTTTGACAGGTTTTGCCTGGCCACTATTTCTCTCTGGATAACATCTACTTTGTATCCGTGACACTTCCCTGTGTTTGAGCTACACACAAAAAACTGTCCTCCCTTCAGCTGCTTCAGGTCCATTCAGTTAAAAAAATTATTCATATACCTAGCAAAACCCCCTTATTTCCAGCTGACTTTTCAAATAAGGAATCAAAGTCCTTGATCAAGTTTATTTGCTATGTTAAATTTTCATCTATCTTCATACCACTACCTCTACCCTCACTTTACTCTCCATCTTATCAGGACAGGTAGTTCCTATTTGTGGATCAGAAGGAAAATCAGGGCCAGGTCAAGCCCAGGAACCAAGGAATATATACCATTCAAAGATCCCTGCCTGCTGAGTATCTTATGAATATGAATAATGTAGCAGAAAATGTGTTCTTCTCCATGCCTGCAATCTAAGCTACTAGGAATAAAGAGGCTCATGGAGCTCAGCCTTGGGAGTTCTAAGTTGCAGTGGGCTATGTTGATTCGGTGTCCACTGTCACTATTTGGTATTAATATTATAAGGCCTCAGAAATAGGGGGCTACCAGATTACCTAAGCAAGGGCAAAGCAGTACTTAATGGAAATGGAGGTCAGAGCTCCTGTGTTTATTAGTGGTGGGACTGGGCCTGTGAGTAGCCCCTGTACTTCCAGCCTTGGTAAAATGGAAGAGAACCAGTCTTTAAAAAACAATACCCTAAGATGCAAAAGCTGGACTCAACATTTTACCTACTCTACACCTCTTCCCAAGTCTGTACTAAGTCACCTTGGAATGTACCTGCGTACCAAAGCCCACTTTGAATTTTGTTTGACTTTAGTAGTTGCTAACATTATAGCAATGGGGTAGCACATACACACATTGTCTACTACAGAGGTTCCTAACCTGGGGACCACGAACTTCTAAAAAGTATGTTTTGAACATTGTTTTTTGATATAATTGGTTTCCTTTTAAGCACCTTACTCTGAGAAAAGGGTACATAAGCTTCAACAGACTGCCGAAGAGGTCCATGTCAAAAAAAAAGTTAAGAACTTTTGGTCTGTTATTTTTATCTGCAACATTCAAAAGACCAGAGAGTTCTTTTAGACCGAGGACAAAAAAATTGGGCAAAGGTCCTGAAAATTTGGGTAAGCTTTATATTTGTCCTATCTTCTCCTTTTGCTTAGTTTTCACCAGAATGTGTCTTGGGAGAGGGGAGTCTCTAAGAACATTTATCAGGTAGATGAGCTAGTATGAATACTAAAAAATTTAAAAAAAAACTTTTGCTTGTTTGCCCCCTCCCCTATAATTCCTTGTCATTTCAGGATAAAAAAGAAAACACTGTTGCACCTGCAGCTGCTGGCCCATCCAGACTACAGGCTGAGTGATGTGATGAGGGAGTCACTTCAAGAAGACCAACTCTCTCCTGTCCTCACAGAGCCCCATCTTCTTGCCCTGGATAGGAGGCTACAAATCATCCTAAAGACAGTGGAAGGATGCATAGGGATTCATGGAGAACAGAATGTTGTAGCCATCGAACCATCAGAACTTTTAGCCCCAAACTCTAACCAAGTAGATTTCGCAAGCTAGGATCTGGAGGTAAAAGTGAAAACATCAAATTTAAGAAAAGGTCCCAGAAGACAGGCAGTGGACTAATTATCAATTTCATCTATTGCCTCCACTGCTGGTCCGTGCTGAGACGTCACAGCCTCAGAAAAGGTGTCAGGAGCTCAACTGATTCCAGTACAACAACAAAAGTCTCCTGATCTTGAACTTCATTCTTTGAGGCAATACTTCTATGGCAAGCTGCTGCCTTGTTTTCCCTAGACAGCAGGAACTCCACAAAGCTCACAACAGTGTCCCTTGGGCTAACGTGGCATGAACCCAGGAGGAGAAATGGGTCTAAATCAGTTATCCTCATATGGAGGTTTTAAGAGTTCTGACACTTGACTCCTGGGTAAGGGAATTAACTCAAACAACAGGCTTTGAATAAAAAAACAACAAATTAAGTGTACACTTACTCCCTCAGATTCTAGTTTTGACTCTGGGAATGACAAAAAAAACTAATGCTTTGCCCAGTTTTAATAAAAATTCATAGGATACCTGAGGCAGGCTAAAATAAAAAGTTGGCAAAGTGGAGCCATCCAACTAGAATAAGACTTCAGGTTCTTTACCCTCCTTCCCACCATTAGAGCTCAATTGAAATACAGTGATACCTCTCAATGCATTCCAAAGACACACTTTATCAGAAGCTTTGTTAGCAGAGGCAGAGATAACAACAGTTATAGAGAGAGCTTTAAAGTTTGCAAATAGCATCACATACATTTAACCTCACAACAACCCTGTGAGGTAGGTTTAAAATACAGTAAGAATCTTTCTGGACATCAGAAAAGGGAAAAGTACATTATTTTAGACAGTATTTAATGCTGAATATTCCACAAGACAAAATATGTATGAGAGCCTTGGGATACAAGAAGGAAAGAAAGGGAGCTAACCCAGGCACAAACAGGGAAAGGTTGAGTCTGCTAGAAGACAGTGGTGGATTATATGTTCCTCTGTCCCTAGCAGCTCCCAGTAGAAGATTTTTATTAGCCATAGATGACTTAGTCCCTAAAATTCTCCTCAGAGAGACTAATTGATCATGTCCCCCCAACCATCCTAATGATCTAAATTGAGTTTATCTTCAGGGCGGGCCGGAAACACAAATACACATACTGTGATTTCCTAAATACCTCTCTACCCACTTTCTGAAGTCTGAAATTCTTTTAACAGGGGTTAGTCTCATTCCAGAAATAAAGACCTAAAATGCAATTACTTAGTTTAAGTACCACACTGACATCTATCCTAAAGTGTCATCACTTGACAAATGAGACTAACAAATTCTTTTCCTGTTTTGACAGGCTATTAAGAAAGTATGGTAGGATGATTCCAGATGCTTAAAGGGTTTTCCTGTCCAGTGTGAGCCATTACCTTCAACTGTCAAAACAAGGTGTGTGAGGGGGTACTTTTTTCCCTGCACACACAACTTAGGAGTCTGTCACAATACTGCTTCATGCTATTCATCAAGGTTTCTTTTATTTTTACTCTAGCCACATTAATTTTAAAATAGCTTCATTCTGAGAATTTGAGATATTACTGTTCTGCACAAGGCTTCCTAGTTCATTAGCCATCATTCCTATTTATCTCATCTGCATGCTTTAGGAAACAGGACAATCAGAAGAAATACTAAACAGGTACAGGAAAGGTCCAGGTTCAAGGGATAGAAGCTACTCTTCAGCTGAGGGGTCACAGTGGTAGAACCTCAGACTAGCACGGCCCTATTACAGCCTTAAAATGAGTCACTTAACTGCTACAAATACACAAATATTACAAATTTGGCTAGTTTTGAAGCACCAAAAGACAGTTTGTTGCCTCTGCAAGGAGAGAGATGGGGCAGAACAGAGGCAGTACGACAACCTTAATCAACTAACATTTTAATGTTTTCAGAAAGGGGAAGAATTTTTTTTCCCCAATCCTGCATTCCCCCCCCCCCCCTTTTGTCTCTGGACTCACAAAATCCAATTAGAAGCACTGGAGGTGGTCCAGAAAATGGTAAGTTGAGCTAAGAATTTAAATTTGGCTGCACAGGGTACTGGACACCTTTTTCTTCATCCTTGATATTCCAATACATTTTCTGACCAAAATTCAAAGGGAATGAGGTGGGCTTTTGCTTTCATTCGTCAAAAATACCAGAAAACCAAAAGTGCCAATCTTAGAACTAACTTCCAACATGTGCATTTTGAGTGATTTCTGGTCGACAAACTCCTGCTTAACTTCCTGTGAATTAACACATTTCCTTCTCTAAATAAAACCTTCTTCATGGTCTTCCTGCCAATACCAAACAGGACCATGTAGGGGGAAGAATGAAAATTAGTTTCAGCTTTCTCCAAATATAAGGTTGAAGGGTACAACTTGTTAAGTTCAAAGGAGCTTGAGGAACAAAAATAGTTAACAAAAATTAAAGTTCTCCATCTAGTGGTAGCTTTTTGTTGCTTAACTCAGAAAGTTATTTAAGCTTTCTAAAAAAAAAATGAACAGGTAGGAATTGCTTTGCAAGATGAATTGAGTTGGATTTATTAGTGGTTTAATTTTAGGGTAGGCTAACAATAAGGTCACAGACCTGAAGTCAAGAAAACAATTTTAGCTATGTATGTATATCAAAGCTGGTTCTCATGGAAAATATTCTGTGATAGGAGGAAAAAAGAAACCCAAATCACCTTCTTATCCTCAGGTCTACAGACTTCAACAACTTTTATGACACAAGTTTTGGGGAGTGTAATAAGGAGCTATCTAGACATGCATTCCTCAGTGTCACTTTAATTCATCTAGAATATTGGGAATTCTATTGGGAATTTTTTTTTGGTCCAGACCTGTGATTTCATTGGTGTAGGGAACTAATTCACGTTACCAATACAAATAGGCCACTGCACTGTAATTTAGTCTTAAAAGACTTATTGAGGGGCACATGGGCAATATTTATTAGAGGTGGGACTTAAATCCAGGCCTTTCTGATTCTGAGGGTACTCCATATATTACGCAATCCTGGGAAAAATGGGAAGAAACAGCACTTTTAGTTATAAATTTACAGTTTGGGGTAAAAATGTTTCTGTTTTTAAAATTCAGTTTAAAATCACAAAATCATGTCAAGAAAACTATAGCAATATGATGTTGGTGAAAATTCAATAAATATTTACTGAGCTCCTACTATATGGAAGGCACCATGGGGGATACAAAAGGGAGTAAGACACAGACTCTGCCCTGGAGAAGAAAAGCTCCAACATGAGCTATCATTTTAGCGCTCCGCTTTGGCAAAGGGCACATATAACTAGGGATCCACCCAAAGAAACTGCTGTTGAGTTGGATTCTCTTTTGGCTGTATCTATTTTGTCCATGGCCCCCAAAACAATACTGAACATGTTTAAGCTGTTTGCCTTGGAAAGCAACATAATGAAAAAAATCTTTCTTGACAACATCTGAATATACTAGTCTTAAGTTCCATTACATGGGAGGATAGATAAATACATTCACATGAACTAAACTGCTGTGTATATTAACACACGATAAGCCTTCTGCCTACGGTCAGACATCTGAAGAGTGACCAACTGGAAGCAAAGCTAGAGTGAAGATAAATATAAAGCTAAGCAATGTGTCAAGCTGTAATTACACTAAATTAATATGCTGACTCAGGAACTATTGTTTCGGTTCTAGTTTTTCCTAAAAAAGTCTAGGGAAAAAAGCTCAAACGTTTTGCCTTCAGAGTGGAAAAAACTGTTTCTGCTCTGGAGGTCCCTTTCCAGCTTTAAGATGCTATGATTAATGTAGTCTGCCAAGACTGACAGGCACAGTACTCTCTTGCAGCAAATTTATCATCAAAATATATTTCAGATCCATTCTTTGGTTGGTAAAGACTGAAATGGGTCTCTCTGAAATTAAATTCTTCTTAGTATATTAACACAGTCCTACCCCTAATTAACTTCTAATTATAATCATTTCTGTTTGCTTGGATAAAAGATTATTATTGAAGGGGGGGAATATGATTATATTTAATAATTTAAATCATTTTTATTTGCTTAATCTGCCATTAGGACAATCTTTAACAAAAGCAATAGAATATATTAGGATATAAAGTATACAGATTGATAGGTAACAATACAAAAATGGTCCACTGGTCATCTGCTGTTTGCTTTCTAGGGCTGTAGCTAAATGGAGCTTTTAAAAAATGAGTTCTAAAGGCCTGAATGTTAGCTACAGTAACTATGCCAATTGTGGTTTCTCACACGTATTTAAACTGCACACAATGCTAGCACTGATTAATATTTAACCTAGACTTAGCTTATCTTAAAATCTTTTAGGTAAACCTACAAAAGGAGTATAAACCGCAAGTTAAAAGATTCAGCAGGGAAACCTAATTAGGATGCAAGCATTATTATATTTATCTGAACAGGTAAAGCTACATGTATATAGATCTATACAAATATATACTGGAAAGTGTGCATTTCTGTGGCATTCTAAACTCATTTAGGTACACTTCTGACACGTTGATATGGATCAGTCTTTACAGTAACTAATGTAAGAAGAAAAATCTAGATACAGATAAAAAAAATAATTTTTTAAATTGGAAAAAAAAAAAGATACTCATACATGAAGGTAAGCAGTAGAAACCTTCACTCGACATTCTTTTGAAAAGCAGATTTATACATGGTGACTTTTTACCTTCCCAAGGCTCATACCTTAGAAATAAATTTTACAACCAACAGTCTGAAAACCACTTAAATTTTAGAACAAAATACACCATGACCATTGTAAACACCCAGGAAAAAACAGAAAGCATTATTAAAGCCTCCTGCGTACAAACACAAGAATGCTTGCTCTTACTCCCAGGTTGAACTTCCCTCTATAAGATTACAACGAAAAGGAAACCTTAAAATTGCTTACATTATGAAACTGAAATTTTGTTTAAAAAAACTGCTGAGAATCATTGACATACTTAGAATAATGTAACAAAGCTGGTAAATATTGAAATATATTAAAGACTCAGAAAAGTTTTACTTAAAATAAAAATTGTCACAGAACTTTAGGTGGAAAGGGAAAGGAAGCCTGACATGGCATTTTACATAAACTTAAAAACAAACACACATGCTCCCAACCTAGCATTACTTCTGGTTAACACCGGAGAAAAAAAATTAAATCATATGCATTTTTAGGGACAAGAAAAGGTACCTGACACCACACTTGATCCACCTCACAGTTCCCACATTAGACAACTGCACCTCCGTTAATCCATGGTGACAGGTTTTCCACATGTATACACTCCCAATTAAACCCATCTCCTGGAATCAGGCAGAGAACTTTATACAGAAGTCAAATGAAGGATATGCAAGAAGCAAAGGCTACAAGGTGAGAACAGAGAGAATATCTATCTCAAATTCTTTTACTGAGTCCAATGCCTGACACTTAATATTTGGCACTAACTGCGTAAATAAAGGATTCATTCTATAATTTGTGAATCATTGGACAAATGTAGTTAAACATTAGTCCAGTTTTTGCTTCTAAGATTTGGAATCGGGCTGAAAAGTTGCTAATGGCAGTTGAAAACATGTCAAGCAGAAAAGCTTTTTCTATAAATTAGGGAAGTTACATCAGTATCTAGTGTGAACAGAAGCAATTAAGCATGACAATCAAAAAATGTGGAGGTTTTTAACAAACCAAACATATTAAATCATTTGAAAACCAGCAGACAATGGGCACATTTCCAGCTATCACTAAACTACCAATTGACTATAAGCAAATGCCTCTCCATTGCACTGAGAATGAGTACCCATGCATTTTTTAATCTTTAGAGAAGCTCAGTAAGGAGTCATTTGTTTAATGAAAAACAGCAGATTATGAGCACATAAAATATGCTTATAATAATTGGAAATGTTTCATTTTTAAAAATTTTTCCACTGTTATATTCTTACTCTATGGCAATTCATTTGGTGCTGGGATCTGCCCTCACCAAAAAGCATGGCACTCACTGCCAAAAGTTGGACACTAACACTGCACAAAGAGAAGCAGTAACAGCAATGTCTCCATATAACTCTATTTATTTAACTGGACACAGAGCACGTCAACTAATGCTCTAAATTAAAAATGGTGCAATGAAAGCAACTGTTTTCTCTTTTTTTTACATAAACAGACAGGAAGCCACAATGACAATGGCCATGTGGTGCTGCAAATGAGGAAAGGACTGGTGAAGTATGGGCTCAAGCAGGGGGAGCCACCTTTCAGACAGACAGTGATACAAAGCTGTTGTACTGCTGGATGTTGCGTTTGAGGATGTCTGAGCAGGGACCGAGAACACGCTCAAATCGGGGTCGGTCCAGTTTAACACATTTCAAGGGGCCACGAGCAACCACTGTGGCAGCTCGTGGACGATTCATCAAAAGTGCAATTTCACCTGGAAGGAAGAAAAGAGAAAATGAGAGCAGGTTAACATCAACCACTTCGAACATCAGCCTTCTCCTAGGCCAGGGTCCATGACCTTGTTCTTTAAAGACTTTGATAACTACATTTCAATGTATTTGGTTTCCTTTCTAAGGCCTATGTATTTTATGTATTTAAAAACACTCTGAGAAAGAATCTATGATAAGAACTCCTATCCTAGGAGATTACTGCTAAACTAGGAATAGGAATGAGCCTATGATTTCATTAGTCTAGGAAGCTGTCAGTGAGAAACTCCCTCTAACAATGAAGGTCAGAACCTTCTAGGCAATTTTTAGTGTTAGTGTTCAGAATCACAGAGCTAGCATGTGTTGGGAGGCAGGTCTTAAAGCCAGGTCTTCCTGGCTCCAAAGTTAGCCATTCATCCAGCCTCTCTGCTGATTATAGCGAGAAACAGAACAATTAGAAGGAGGAAGGCATGTAATAAGCATTACAGTGTGCCCAAGGCACTGTGCTAAGGGTTTCTTACAAACATCATCTCATTTGATCCTCATAACAAACCTGTGAGATAGATGCTATTATTATCCCCATTTTACAGTTGAGGAAACTGAGGCAGAGGTTAAGTGACTTGCCCAGAGTTACATACCTAGAAAGTGTCTGCAGCCAGATCTGAACTTAGGTCTTCCTTACTCCAAGTCTAGCACTCTATCCACTGTACCACCTAGCTACTAACGAACATATGTCAATCATTTATTAATTACAGCTGAAAAAAAAAAGGAACAGAAGGCAACTATCCTAGTATCAGACAGTTCCTGTTTATGTAACTTATTTACCAAAGTGGTCTAGAACAAGAACCCTCAAGTCTTGTCCTGCTTTCCTGAAAGTCAAGAAAATCTGTAGCAAAAGCTGCTCCTCTTGCAGGCATCAGAGAAGAAAAGCCCCAATGGAAGGTTATAGCTTCTCGTGGAAAGGTGAAGTACAGATAGATTATGAACTAATCACATACCAAAATAATCAGAGGGCCCCAATCTTCCCACTTCAACAAATTCTTCATTCTCCGACCTACGCTGAAGCACAGCAGCTGAACCCTACAATAAAACCAGCACAACACTTTTACCAATGTTACAACTGACAAAATCTTTCAGGCTTTTTGTGCAATTTCAGCATCTCAGCAAAATATATTCTCTGATCATTTCAAATCTACTAGTTTTTACTGTGAGAAAATCATGAGTTTTTTCAATTACTTAACAAGTGCCTTCACTGCCCTCTTATGGTAGCGTTACTTCCCGCAATGTGTAACAGAACCAGTGATCCAGGGGTTTCTACAAACCCCTTGGATCTAAGTGTTGTGTTCCTTTACTTCACAATTTCATGAACATATAAATGATCTGTTCTAGAAAATATCCTGAAATCCATTTCTTCATTGTAATGACTTGCCGCTCAAACAGTGCTAATATGTACACTGACACTCCTAAGTGTACTCATTAGTTTATTCACAAAATATGTTCAGTGATAGAACTCTGTTTAGCTAGCATGACAACAATTAATCTGGGTGGATCTGAGAGCTTATCTCTTACTTCACAGTCTAGGGAGTGCCCTGACTGCATTTCTGTCTCAGCAGCTGAATTCATCTGAGCAATAGCTTTTAGCCAGGGTACCAAACAAAACAGCCCTCAAAAGGTACTGAATACCTTTGATAGACCAGCAGGTATCTTCAGAACTTAAACTCAATGAATACCAATGGTCCAGATTTCATGTGTGTTATTTTCCTCGTCTAAGTATTTATTAAAGTACCAAGTTTAGGTTTCTTTTCCTACCCTTGGTAAGTAACCTTTACTTACCTCTAAGATAATGAAGAACTCGTCTCCTGGCTCTCCTTGCACTACAATCTTCTGCCCATCTTCAAACTGAACAGGTTCCAATGCATCAGCTACTGTGAGACGCTCCCATTTGTCCAGAGACTCTGGAAGACAAAATGAAAAAGGTTCCTTTGCATTATTTGGTGATGCTTCTCCTCCCACTGCCATGAAGGTGACATCATTCAATCACGAAGTATCCCTCGGCCCTTAGATCCTCATTTCAGGAAATTACTTGCCCTAAATTAACTTCAGGTACATCTAAAAGGCTTCAGTTAAAAACAGCTGTGCAATTCAGCTGTGAAAGACCACAGGCCCCAAAACGACTAGTGTCATTACTAATTATTTCATAGGTTCAATTCATTGTAAAACACCAATGACATAAAATTTGATCCAAATTTTGCCAATTCCCTTATAAAGAACTGCCTGCAACAACACTCATGTGTTTCTTACTAATTTGTTTTACATTAAATTTTAATTTAGTCATTTCAGAGGTTGAAACCTCAATTAATCTTCTTAAATAGTAAATATATCATTTGAAATAAATATTGTCCTGTACCTGGGACCCTTAAATGGTAGTCGAGAATAATTATGAAACACCTAACGTCAAAAGAGGGAGAAGCCCCAAAAGACAATTAAACCAGCTCAGTCACTACTACTTTGGGGATTATAGATATTTTTCTGTCACTTTTCTGAGTTGTAGAAATAGGGCATTTAAAATGTCATCAGGTTTCTTCCACAACCTACCCTCCCTATAGTCTTTTATTTCTAGCTAATAAGTCTGCCATACCTGCTGCTGTACTCCATCAAGGAAAAAGTTCCTGTCCCAAATTTCTCAATATTAGTTTTTGACTCAGAATCTTCCTCTCCACCCCATGTTGTGCCATCATCTATCCACTGGATTGTTTTTAAGACACATAATCTAATCATGTCTCACAACTTGATGTCAAATTTCCCTCCAAGCCTGGTTGCAAAACTATAATGGGGGAGGAAAGCAGGGATAAATTCAAGAACAAAATGATTCCTTTGATCATATTTCTTCACAGGCTCTGTCCCTTACTGATCTGATTCCTACCTTCAAGGGAAAAAAAGGAGACAGCTGCTTCAGAAGGATTGTTATAAGACTTTAACTAAATCTTACTGGTAGGCACATATATCTTACTATACACTTTTGTACTCCTTTCACATGTGTTTCTGCAGAACCAAAAGAATGAGCCATGAGTGTTCTAACAGGAAAGAAACCAATAAACAAAGCATTTTTTTGAGTTATGATTGTCCCTCATATCTGACAGCTAACAGAAGCACAGTCAAGAGCAGAAAAGCAGACTGTGAACAAAATGAAAAAGGCAGCAAATGCTCTAGAGAGCTATAGCTGGAAGTCTCTTTCTTTCCCAAGGGTGTTCTGTGATGAGCATCACAGGTGACACATACTCTGTGGCGTGCCTGGTATTTCACACAGGATTTTACACCTAAAAGCAAAGAGAGAAGGGACTGATAAATATACCCTCAGCTATCATGTAAAAGAAGGGAATAGGATATTGTGAAGCTAAAGGTTCACTCAAGCTATTATGTTATTGAAAATGTCATCTATACTTCATGTCTCACCTTTACTTCACCATCCAGTCTTCTCAATACCTTACAATTTAATTGTCAATCCCCTATTCACAACTACTGTCTCAAAGGTAGTCAATGACTTCCCACTCAGGAGCTTCCCTTACATATATCCAATACCTTGATTTTTTTTCAGTTTTTAACATTGTTGTGCATCCCTTTCAACTATATACTCTCCCGGCTTTTTTCATTTAGATCTCTGTTCATTCCTTCACTATTGTAGACGTCCCTCAAGGATCTGTCTGTGGACCTCTTTTTTCTTCACACTCTTTCTTTGGCAAGCTCATTCACACCTGTGGTTTCAACAACTACATCCAAAATTGTCAAGCAGTCAATCAATCTGCCTTGCCATGTTCTTCCTCCCTCTCTCCTCTACCCTTTTTCTCTCATTCATTTTCACTTCTCTACTGAGCTCCCTTACTTTCTGCCTCCCTGGATATCTCGCCAGCACCTCAAACTCACTATGTCCAAAAGCAAGCTTATCTTTTCTACCACAAACACTTCTTCCAACTAACTTCAATATTTCTGTACCAACTCCCCACCATAATAACCTTAGAGTTATCGCTGATTCTGTGCTCTCACCTGCTTATATCTAATCAGTTTGAAGTTCTTTGATTCTATTTTAGAAATACACATTTAGTTTATCTTCTATTCCCAATGCTACCACCTTTAGTATATGCCTCCATTACTGCTTTCACCCATCTTGTCACAGCCTCCTAAAAAGTTCTTTTGCCTCCATGATGATCTGTCAAAATTGATTGTTTATTCTGCTGCCAGAATAATCTTTGTTATGCATAAATTTGGTCATGATACTTGTCTGCTCAGAAATCTTCAGTAACTCCCTATCAATAGCTGTGTAAAGTCCAAACTACTCTGCTCAACATTTAAGGCCCTCTGTAATCTAGTACCACCCTACCCTTCCAGCATGATTTCATATTACTAACTCCTTACTAAACAATCTTTGCCCTCCAAAAATGTCCATGCCTTCCTACCTCTATACCTTTGCGCAGGCTGTTCCCAATGCCTGGAATGTCCTAAGAGCCTAATGACCACATGTCACTGAATTAAAGATTCAGAATTATAAAGAACCTTAGACACTATCTAATCTAATCCTTTCCCTATACAGATGAGGAACAGAGGCCCTGAGAGGTTAAGTGACTTGCCCAAGGTCAAAGGTAGTATTAAAGGTGGGATTTGAATGGTCTGGTCTCCTGATGCTAAATTCAACATGCTTTCTACTATATGGCACTATGTTCCATCTGCTGAATTCCTATCCATCTTTAGGGGAATAAGCCCATCTCAAATGTCTTCCAGGATTCATCTCCAGCCAAATCAACCTTGGACCTCACATACATCTTACAATTACCAGTGTTCATGTCCTGTATCACCACTAAATTAGAAGCTCCATAAAGACAGTGACCATGTCTTACCCAAATTTCAAATTACCACCACTGCCTTACACAGTTAACATTGTGCTTAATAAATAATTATTGGTCTTTTTGTGGTGGCTAAGAATTGGAAATCAAAAGGATGCCCATCAAGTGAAGAATGGCTAAACAAACTGTGGCATATGATTGTAATGGAATATTATTGTGCTGTAAGAAATGACAAGCAGGATAATTTCAGAAAAACCTGGAAAGACTTACATGAACTGACTGATGCATAGTGAAGTGAACAGAACCAGGAGAAAATTATACATAGTAACAGCAATACTCTTTGATGAAGAATTGTGAATGCCTTAAGTTATTCTCAGCAATACAATGATCACGACAACCCCAAAGGACTAATGATGAAAAGCATACTACCTGCCTCCAGAGAAAGAACTGATATTGTTTGAATACAGAGTATTCAATTTTTGAAAAATTCATGCAATTTTTCACTTTTTCATTTTTTTCTTTTTATTCGAGTCTCTCAGTACAAAAGGAATAATATGGAAATGTTTTACATAATTGCACATGTATAACCTATATCTGATTGCTTACTATCTCAGGGAAGGGTGAGAGGAAGGAGGAAAAGAGGGAATTTGGAATTCAAAACTTTAAATAAAAATTGTTTAAAAAAATTTTTAAAATATATAAATAATTGCTGGAAAGAAAACTGGTGAATTGTAAAGTCACTGATATCTAAGTCAAAGACTTCTATCAGGTGGAAACTCCACACATCACAATTACTAGTAGTAAAGGGATGTTTATAAAGCACTCAAGATGAAAGTGCCAATGATAATTATGTCAACAGCAAAATATTTATACTCTTATACTTTATACCAAAGTATCATTAACAATTCAGTAACATAATTTCAATATTCATGGCCCACCAACTCACCTAAAATAGAAACTTTACTGAGGAATTCCTCATACATCTTACGCTTTCTCAATGTGCTTCCCTGCAAAAGGAAAGAGAAACTGAAATTCAATATAAATGTTTAATTGCTACTCAGTGCTGTAAAAAAAACAAAAATGAAGCTTCATGTAGGAAAATAATTCAGTAAGTCATTTTTAAAAATGTACTGAATACCGAACAGTCTTTGCTAAGGCTTCTTGGAAACATCTAGGTAACTGCAAAGATCTCCTACACATAGATCTATAAACGAGTGGCAGGGAACAGAAGTATCGAGATCTTAAGTTGACAACCAGACATGGCCACAAGAAATTTCCTAACACCACGATATGGTGAAATTGCAAGCAGATGAGAAATCTAGCTGATTTCTTACCATAAGGATTCTCCTATAGCTGTCTCGGTCAATGCCCCATAATTTCACATTTGTCTTTGCTTTCACAGTTGCCGCTCTAGGTGTTCCATAAATCAAGGCAAGTTCTCCGAAGCTCCCTCCTTCTCCAACACTGGTTGCCCATTCATTATTGACATAGACCTAAAAAGCCAAAAAACATGACTGAATTGTTTCTGGAAAAATATGTATAGACAGAGAATTAAAATCAGCTATCTTCAAAGGTTTGCAATTCTGTACTTTTATTTCAGGATATCAAATACACAAACGCTTAGAAATCAGAGCAAAGAATTTAGAGCTTACACTGTTTTAGCTATGTATTTTATTTATCTAATAAGGGCCATTTACAGGGGCAGGGAAGAAGGGCAAAGAAAATTAACTTAGAGATGAATTCAGAACCAGTATTTAATCACAAAACAGAAATAATGAGCACCTCCACCCAATTCTCCAAAAAGCTCACCTAGCTCATCAAACTATTTAGAAAAGGGTATGAATAAATACCAGTTTTACTAACTTCTGAGACAGAAGGAATAAAATACTTTGTTCTTTGGCTATTAGCAATAGTATTTCCTATTGCTTGAAGACAATGAAACGGCATTACATTTGTGACTTAAAAATTGATCAAAATACTTTTATATCTTACATCCATCTCTCCTTGATCAATCACATAGAAATTATCTCCTTCATCACCTAAAAGAGAGAAGACTATATTAAAACCATTTCAGACAAAAGCATATTCATGAAATACATAGAAAAAAAATTCATGAATGGGACAACGGTAGTGTGTCAAATGGTACAGAGACCAGTCCTTTGATAAAAGTCCTTAGAAGGCACAAATTGACTCATTTTTCTTGACCTCTGCAACATGTGACACTATTGAACTCTCTCACTTCTTGGATACTCTCCCCCTTCTTGGTGTTTCTCCTACTTGTTTAATAGTTCTTCTTAAGTCTCCTTTGTTGCACCACTCTTGATAACCCTTACCCTGCGTCAATATATTCCGTAACCGCAAAGGGTTCCCTTCTCCTCTCCAGGCTCTCTCTTGGTGACCTCATTAGTTCCTATGAGGTCAATTAGCATCTCTACACAGATGATTCCCAGATGTATATGTCTAGCTCCAGTCCCTCTAGAGAGCTCCCGTCTCACATTACCCACTGCCTACTGGACGTTTTAAACTAGATGTCCCAAAGGTATCTCAAATTCAATATGCCCACACCAGAGTTCATTCCCTTCCAAATCCATCATCTCTCTTTTTTTAATACCCTATTGTCCATCATGGACACTGCCAGCCTTCAAATCACTCGAGATTAAAAGCTCCAAGTCATCTTCAAATTTCTTACTTTCCTTCACCCTCCACATCCAATCAGGTGTCAAGTCTTTTTGATTCTACCTCTATAACATATCTCGTATTCATTCCCTTTTCTCCACTTTCACGGCCATCATTCCAGATCAGATCCTTCCCTGGACTATCACAATAATGGTAACCAAAAAAGCTAACACCATCTTGGATAGTATTAAGAAAGACACAGATTTCAGGAATAATCCCCATTTACTGAACCGGTTAGATTTCACCTGGAGTATTGTGTTCAGTCCTGGTACCAAGGTTTAATCTATCTGGAGAAGGTACCGTGGGGACAACCAGGATGATAAAAGTCCTTGAGTTCATTTCATATGAGAATCAGGTGAAAAGAAAGCTCAGAGTTAGGTGAGGAGATGACACCTGTCTTTATGACACCTGTCTTTAAGTATGTGAAGGGCTGTGACGTGGCAGAAAGATTAGACTTGTTCTGTTTTGCCTCAAAGGACAGAACCAGGAACAATACGTGGAAATTGCAAAGAGGCCAATGTAGGCTTGTAAGGAAAAGCTTCCTAACAATTACAGCTGTCCCAAAGTAAAACGGGTTGCCCTGAGAGATGATGGGTTCCATCTCCTTGGAGTTCAAGAAGAGACTAGACAATCATTTGTCAGTTATATTATATTAGGGGAATTCCTTTTCATACTGGCCTGGACTAAATGAGGTCCTTTCCAACTCTCAAATTCTATGCATCTATGATTCTGTTCAGTTTTTCAAATGCTTCCCAACTTGGCTCCAAACTGTATTTCTAGTTTCATTGTGCATTACTCCCCTAAAGTCGTGACCAAACTGGCCTCTTGTCCACTCTTCACAAAAAATATTCCGTATTCTATGTTCATTACGTATACACTCATATATGTACATGTTGTCTCCCTCTTAAAAAAAAAAAAAAGCTCCTTGAGAAGAGTTCCATTTTTTGTTTTCATATCTATGGCACCTAACATAATACCTGATAGAGTAACCATGTCACTTCCTTTGATTTATAATTAACCACACCTATAAACTCTAATGGCTCCTTATTATCCATAGAATAAATACAAACTCCTCTACTTGACACTTAAAAGACTTTCACAATCTAGCCTCAATTTACTTTTCCAGGCTTATTATACATCACTCCCCTTCACGCACTATAGCTAAGCCAAACTGGCCTTCTTAATATTCTTCACACAACTTCTCATCTACATACATTTGCACAGGATGTCCTTTAGGCCAGTAAAAACTCCCTATGCCTCCTAAAATACCTAATTTCCCTCAAACTTTAGCTCAAGTGCAAATCTCCTACTTTAGCCTCTTCCCTCCAACTCCTGAGACCACACTGCCCTCAAAAATTGTACTTTTCTTTTATATATATTTTGTGTACATACATACACAGACGTATGTTGTCAACTACCAAAATAATAGAAAAGTATAATGTTCTTGAGGGCAAGGCCTGTTTCATTTTTGTCTTTGTATCATGGGACAGAATAGGTGCTTAATAAATGTTTGTTGACTGGTTAATAAAATGGGAAAATTAGCAAAAATATGAGAAAGAAATGGAATGGTTTAAAAAAAAAAAGAACTAGATTATTTTCTTCTGATTTAAAAAAAAAATGTCATGGAAATGGTGGTCCTTACCTTGTTGAATTACAGTCTCTCCAGCAATAAAGGAGGCCGGGAACATGGCATCAAAAATATCACTGCAATGGAGAGAAGCACTTCTTCTTACGTTATATTTCAAAATATGCCTCTATCTAAGGATATGAAAACTTGAATAAAGAGATTAAAGTTGCTGGATATTTTAACCTCGGCCGCCATCAAAGGGATAAAAGTTCTATCTATAATAACATTTACCCCGTTTCTTAAGATTTTAACTACAAAGAATAAATATGGCAACTCACCAAAAGAAATGACAAAATCATACTAGTCCAGGAAAAAAGACATCTCTGAGCATCACTCTCCTAACATACCTCAGAGGAGATAATCTATTGAACAATTCAGGGGGTCTAAGCGCAGAAGTGACCCAGCGAAGAGTACCTCAGAAATGCCTTATCACTTTATAACCAGCTTAGTCCCAGAATACCATCAATTCCTACCTTTACTGCCAGGTAGGACTTGCAACCAGATGGATTAATTTCCCTACTGTCAAAGTCAATCTCATCCCTCCACTAGTAACTCTATCCTACTCTTCTTTATTCTTCCATTTTACCCTTTGGAACTCCATTTCTATTGCTAGTAAACTGCCTTTCATCATTAAAACTGTGCTCCCCATTCCAAAAATTACTTTGTATTTGCGTGTATTTGTACATGCTGTTCCCCTCCTCCCCCAACTGAAAGTAAGCTCTTTACGGTGCCTAGATCGTAGTAGATGTTTTTTAAATGCTTGTTATTTTAAACTGAATACTAAAACTGCAAGGCAAACCAAAACCTACCTTCTCTCATTGTCATCAAGATGTGAGAACAATACGTTCTTCTCAATGGCTTTAGCTAAAGCAGCCATAGTCTTGTAATCTTTTGGAATAACCTAGGAAAAAAAATTTTAAATCTAGTGTCACAATTGCTAAAACAAACATGATATACATTTTGCAATCTGTATTCCAACTTAATACCAAACCAAATTATGAACACTGAAATGCTGTTTCAAATTTTTACTATGATAGTCTTCCAACAATTGTGATTCTCACAGCAAATAACAAATACTAATGATTAATCCATTTAACAGTCAGGCAAGGCTGGTTTCCAGTTTAAATTTAAGAAATGAAACAACTTGGCTCAGATTCTCATATAGCAAAGGGCTCAGATTCTTAAGATCTGGCCTGCTTGCATTAGAGATACAAATGCCTAGATTCCTTAAGCGTCTGGCCAATATGGCTGATCTTTAATAAACCTCGTCTTTGGCTGAAAAAATAATAATGATAATAAAAGAACAAAACAAAACAAAAAGAAATGAAGCAACTTGTCTTTGTAAAGTGCATGAGGAATGTGCCTCAAGCTAGTTGATGAAAGCTACTTTCTGAAAGTTGGGAATACTAACAGTATTGGTAGTTAGGAATCTGTGAGCAAGGAAAAGTCATTTTTTTAAAAAAGCAGACATGGTACTATTCCTACAGAAAGAGTAAGATAATTGACTGAAGTACAGAGAGAAATAAAGTTGGCAGATTTAGGAGAAAGGGTTAACAATCATGGAACATGTCATAACAATCATGGAACATGTCAGGGGGTCTGGATTTAAATCTTGCCTATCATTTACTACCTGTGTCATCCTGCAAGTCACTTAACCCTTCTGGGCCTTACTGTCCCCATCTGCAAAATGAGGAGGTTGGACTAGATGACCTCCAAAGTACCTTCCAGCTTTAAATATGATTCTAATCTAATAAAAGAGAGGAGTACATGCTTTCCTCTTCTGTAAGACAATATGCTTTGAAGTAGGAAAAGACTCAAATTCCAACTGCAACCAACGGTATAAAAATATCAATGGGTTATTTGTGGTCTTTTATTTGCAGCCTGTAAAACATCTGATGACAAGATTTTACAAAAGAGTATTACAACACAGAGAGTATAGTGAATTTCAAGTTTCTGCTTAATCAAAGTAGGATATCTATTTATCAACAATCATGAGATGACTATTATTTGAGCTTCAAGAACATTCCTCAAATTTTTAAGTGGGTCTCTTACCTTTGTGGGTTCAACAAATGGTATTTCATTGGCCTTGGGACCAGTTTGGGGGTGTGTGTCTGTGTGTCTGTGTGTCTGTGTGTGTGTGTGTGTGTGTGTGTGTGTGTGTCTTGAGGAGGATGGGGGTGTGAGATTTTCTAATTTGCTAATCTATCCTTATTCTCAAGGTCTGAGACAGAGTAGACTCTATCTTTTGGATGGCCTTGCACATAAACAGGAGCAGAATTACCTTTCTAACATATGATGCAGCATCTTCCTCAGTATACACCTCTGCACTGATAGCCCCCCTTCGCCTCCGACCCTTAACCACTGGATTGGGAGGTGGAGGAGAAATTTCTTCTTCCCTTGATTCAGAATGGGCACTTGCTTTCTGCAGAGTCTGGAGCTGTTTTGTTTCCTCCTAGATGGGTAAAAAGGAGAGATAAAAGAGATATGTTCAGAGCACATGATCATCCTTGGTAGAAAACTAATATTTTATTTAAATCACCCTATTTTTCCTCTATTACTAATAAAGAAGGGAAAAGAGTTAAACCCAGAGGGGAGAAAAAGGGATATTGAGAAGTTCCATAAGAAATACTCCTAAAATTCAGCACTCTTTCTCAAATGTGATTAAGTGTTATATTTCTAGTCCAATTTCTTTTAATCAACTTTACTAATGACAATTAGGTAATTAGGCAGCATCTTTTGGGAATGGAAGTTTCTACATTAGGTGAATTTTTCAGATAACTGAAACTTACCAAAGAGGCACAAAATATTTTTCACTTTAACAATTTTTTTTAATCAAATCAACAGGCATTTAAGTATCTACTGCGTTTCAGGTACTCTGCTAAGCACTGTGATAAAAAGAAAGCAAACTATATCATACATTTTCTGCTACCTTAAATAAGATATGCTGAACATAATTTAACCTTTCTTACTGATTTAGCAACCACCAATATAATCATGAGTTACTGTACTGCAATTTATGAGAACAAGAGCCATTCCCCAATAGACAAATGATCAAAAGGATATATAAATAGGCAATTTTCAAATTAAGAAATCCAAGTTATTAACAACTACATGAAAAAATGCTACAAATCACTAATAATTAGAGAAAAACAAATTAGAGCAACTCTGAGGTTCTATCTCACAACCATCAGATAGGCACAGATGACAAAAAAAGCAAATTCCAAGTGTTGGAGGGTCTGAAGAAAATAGGCATACTAATAATAATACTGTTAGTGGACTTGTTAACTGGTACAGTCACTCTGGGAAGCAATTAGAAATTATACCCAAAAAGTTACTATATAGATATATACAAGGCACATACTCCTTGACCCAGTTACATACCACTTTATACTATATGCTACCCCACCATATACTCCCATTTTGGGGAACTATACCCTCAAAGGGATTAAAAAAGAAAGACGGCAAAGACCTATATGTACAAAAATATTTATAACAGCTCTTTTCATAGTAGCCAAAAACTGGAAACTAAGGTGGTACCTACTTATTGAAGAACAGCTAAACAAATCATGACATGTGAACCATTGCAATGGCATATTATTGTGTCATAAAGTAATTAAGAAATGGACAATTTCAGAGGAAACTGGTAAGACAGCTATGAACTAACATGGAGAAAAATGAGCAGTAGGGGAACAATTTATATATAATGACAACAATGTTATAAAGAAAAATAAATCTTTGAAAGTCTTTAGAAATATGGTCAATACCATAATAAACTACCTTAGAGGGCAGAAGATGAACCATTAAAACAGCCTTACAGATAGGTGATGGAAAATGCACAATGAGAAATGTCACTAATTTTTGGAGGTCACTAATGTTGGAATCTGTTTTGCTGAACTTGTATAATTGTTATGTCTTCTCTTCTTTAAAACTGTTCAATGAAAATAAATTTTTTTTGTCCATTCAAGTTCACTGTAGGAGGGAAAGACAATAAATGCTTGTAGAAAATAAGTATTTTTTATAGGGGTGAAAAAGAAGAGTCAGGAAGACCTGTTATGATACTACTGCAGGAGCTGTAGGGGCTATCTAAAAGTAGAGGCACTGAGACTATAAAGAAGCGGATAAATGTTAAAGGTGTTGCTGAGATAGAATCTAAAGGACTTAGTAACTGACCAGATATAACAAAATGAGAGACAGAGAGAGAGAGACAGAGACAGAGAGAGACAGAGAGACAGACAGAGAGAGACAGAGATAGAGAAGTCAAAAAGTAATCCCAAGGTTCCAATCACAGGTAAAGAGGGTAAAACTGTGGTATCACACAGAAGTGGTAAAAGTTAGAAGTAGTAGATTAGATGTAAAAATAATCAACAAAAACATGTTGAGCTAAGGAGGCATCTGTAAAGAGGTGGCAGTTGAAACCACAAGAATAAAAGTATCAAGAGTTAGAATACTGAAGTGGTCAAAAGTCAAAAATGAACTTAACATTTTTATGGCTATTATTTCACACTAAAACCAAAGCAAATCAGAAAGATTAACAATTTTAAAGATACCATTTTAAAGAGAACTTATAAACAAACTAATGCTTCTCACCAAAGTCATAAACTAAAATGCAATGTCATTTGTATTATGATGAAATGCTAATTAAAATCAGTTAATGGTCCAAGTAAGACTATTCAAACCCAATTTGAATAAAGTATCTGTTAACAAAGTCCCTTTCACATTTTAATAAAGGACATTACAAGTAACAATCTGACCAACAGAAGCCAATAAATTAACTCAATTCTTCACAAAGAAATCACTTCAACTTTTTGTTCTTACTTCCTTGTTCTTACTTGGTTTAGCAATACATTATAAACAATGCAACACAAATTGTGTTATGTCCTTGTTTTCCTCTTTCTCCTCCTCCACCACACCACATTCTATAGCAAAGATCTTAATTATTTTTGTGTGTCATGTACCCCTTTTAGCAGTCTGAGGAAGCCTTGAACCACTTACCAAAACATTTGATGCCTACAGTCATTAATTGAAGGAAATACTAAATTTCAGTTAGAGGTTTGTGAAAATAAAGACAATTTCTTTTCCATCCAAGTTCACAGACACATTGAAATATATCCACGTACCGCAGGTCTTGAGAATTCCTAATCTATAAGCATGTAGTCCTACACTTGGATACAAAAAAAAATTAATTTCTTCTCTACAAGATGGCGGAAAAGTATCTCAGATAGTTGTTCTGAATAAGATCTTGAGGGTTTTAGTGAATTGAAAGCTCAATGAATCAGCAGTGTGATGTGTCAGCCGAAAAAGCTAACACAATCTTGGACTGCATTAAGAGGGGCAGAGCTTCTAGGAATAGAAAGGTAATAGGTGCAACGCACTCCATCCTGGTCAGGTTTCACCTGGAGTACTGTGCTCAGTTCATAGTTTAAAAAGAACACTGATAAGCTGGAAGAGTATTCAGTGAAGGGCAAGCAGAATGGCAAAGGACTTTGAGTTCATGTCACATGAAGACTAGTTGAAGGAACAAGAAAAAATTTGGGGGACAGGGCGATGATAACCATCTTCAAGTATCTGAAGGGCTGTCATGTAGAGGAGAAATCAGATTTGTTCTATTTGGCACTAGAGGGCAGAAACAGGAAAAATGAGTGGAAGTTGCAAAGAAACCAATCAGGCCTCATGTCAGAAAAAACTTCGTAACAACTAGAGCTTTCCCAAGTGAAATAGATAGGCTCCTCCTCTTTGGAAGTCCTTCAAGCAAAGACTGGATGACCAACCACTTGGGTAGGTAATATTAGAGATTCCTCTGGTAACTGGTTAATTACTTTGTTGTTGGACTAGATGGTCAATAAGGTTCCCTTACAAGTCACAATTTTTTGAATCCGAGCTTACAGTCTACTGAAGTCCTAGATCTTTTTTTCAAACAAACTTAGTTCTAACCATTCCTCCCTCCATCTGGTATTTGTGAAACTAATTTTTTTCCATAACCAAGTCTAAGACTTGACATTTATTTCCATAGAATGTCAATCTTATTAGAGCTATCCCAGTACTCTAATTTAGCAAAGGGACCTAGACCTTGTCATCCATTGTGTCAGCTACCTCCCATCAGTGTTGTGTCACCTGCAAATTTGATAAGCCTAACATTTCTGCCTTTATCCAAGTCACTAATAAAAATGTTAAACCTCATACAGCCAAGCACAGAAAGATGACTGGAGAACTCCTACCAAATTAACAATGAATGGCTAACAACTGTTCTTTTAGTCAAGACATCTAAGCAGAGTAGAATCCATTATTATTACTGTTTAGTCCACATCTCTCTATCTTCTTGAAAAGAATAGTATGAAACTTTATCAAGAGTTTTACTAAAATCTGGATAAACTATTGCCAAAGAATTCCCCTCACCCACTAGTTTGTCAATATTGTCAAAAAAGGAAACGAGGTTAACCTGGCCATGACCTGTTCTTGATGAAACCATGCTGGCTCTCTTTGAAATCACCTCATCTCCATCTAGATGCTTGGCAACCATATCTTTAATTTTTTCAGAAATCAAGGTCAAGCTCACTGGCCTAGAGTTTGTAAACTCTTTTCTTCCCTTTTTTTGAAAACTGAGGTCACATATTCCCTTCCCCAGTTGTGTGGTTCCATCTCCTGATCTTTCATATACTACTGCTAGAAGTGGGTCAGTCATTTTTGCCTGTTCTTTTGATGCCTATGGATCTAGTATCTCTAGGCCAGATGACTTAAATCATCCAAGGCAAGTAGTACTCTCTCACTATCTCTTTACCTCTCTGGGGTGTCAATACCCTGAGAGTACATTTTGTCATCTGCAGTGCAAAAGTCATTATCCTTACAAAGAAAAAAGTAAAGTAAGAATAGAGCAGCTCTACCGTCTCCATTTTCAGTTATGATCATCTCATCCATACCCAAGTTCAATCATTTCTTTGATCCTTTTTGTCTCAATATAGCTTTAAAAAAAAAAAAAAACCTCTGATGTCCTTCACTTTCCTTGCTAGCCTCTATTCATTATAAACTTTAGTACTAGCGACACTATTTGGACAGGACTGTGTCATATTCATATTCATTCTTTGTCTTAGAAAACTACTTAGGACTGGGGATTTAAGTAACTTGACTATAGTCACATAGTTAGTATGTTTCACAGGCAAGATGTGAATTCATGTCTTGACTCCAAAGCCAGTCTTCTATCTACTACATAACATTGCTTCTCAAAGAGGATGATATTCTACCTTAATCTAGTTTTGCTTTTTTTTTTAATTTTAAGGTTTTAAAATTATTCATAGCTTATAATCAGAACTCCAACTCAAAATTTCAATGTGGTTCTTGAGCTAAGTTTTTTTTTTGGTTTGTTTGTTTGGTTTTTTTTGCTTTTTGGTGAGGCAATCAAGGTTAAGTGACTTGCCCAGGGTCACACAGCTGGTAATATATGTGTCAACTGTCTGAGGCCATATTTGAACTGAGGTCCTCCTAACTCCAAGGCTGGAGCTCTATCCACTGCGCCACCTAGCTGCCCCTTGAGCTAAATTTTCTGTCCATCCAAAGAAGCAACTGGAAAGGTTCTAAAGCAAGGGTTCTTAACCTGGGTCTGTAAACTTTTCTTTTCTAATACTTAATTATGTCTCAGTATATTGATTTCTCAGTAATTGATTTCCCTTTGTAATGCTAGATATTTTATTTTAAGGCATTTAAAAACATTCTGAAAGGGGACCAAGGCTTCTCCAGAATGACAAAGGGGTTCATGATACAAAAAGGTTAAGAATCCCTCCTTCTAGAGAGATGATCTGGTCAAACAGCCCCAGAACTTTAAGTCATTCAGGACAGGCACGTACATGAGATCTTGGTTGTTTCATTCATCAGTCCTTAAGAAGAAAGTGAATTGAAGGTTTATCTTTAATAGAGAAGAAAACATTTAGTATAGAAAAACGTGCTCCACATGAGTCCCAGGGCAAATATAAAAATTTCAGACGACCAAAAAACAAAAAGACAGCAGATATCCCTCGATCACTTTCTGAAAAGGGAAAACTGGATTACTTTTCTTTATAAAAAGGTACAAAAGACATGACCAAAAAAAAAGTGAAAACTGGAGCTCCTTTGACAGATCCACCCCCTTTAGAATAAGTAACCTCAATTCATCATATATAAAAACAAATTATACAATTACAGAATTTTTGTAATTCAGCCATGAGGTGGGCTAAATTTACAACTGTACTAATCATAAAAGAAAGGGAGCTCCTCAGTTAATTGTATTTCTATAAATGTAAATTATAAAATTGAATAAACAAGATTTTGTGGGAAATATTTAAGTTGCTTAAGAAAAATTCCATTCTGGAAAACTTTTGCTATACCTATTAAATATAACTATGGAATCAGCTAATTATATATCATTTCTTAATGCAGATAGGAAGAATGTCCTTTCAGATACTTTATTAGCCTAGATTATTACACATGTGTTTGAAAATTATAAAATAAACTGTATTTTGAAATATATTATTTTAGACTTTTCACTTACCCAGCCAACTGTAACAAGTTAGTAAGATTGATTAGCAACTAAAATTTAGCAAATGTTTAAATCTCATTGTTCCCTTCCCCAGTTGTTTGTTTGTTTACCTTCTCCAGTCTCTCAAAGTATTCCCTAAGAAATGCCATGGGTCTCTCAGGCCGAACAGTACAGAGCTGCACAATGGAATCCTTGAGGAGTGCCTGGATATTATGCTTCTGGACATAGAGCTCACACTCCCGGAGGCTCCGCTCCTCCTCGCTGCTGGCGCTGCTAGTTGCCATTGCTTTTAGCTGAAAGAAAAATGTACATATATATTTGCATAAACTATTTAGAAAAACTGAACCTGAGCTTCTATTTTGCTCAATATCTTAATCAAATGATTCAAATATCTTAAATATCTTATATCTTATAATATCAATTATATTATCTTATATCTTATATCAAATATCTTACTTTATTAAATTATAATATCAAATATCTTAAATACCTTAATCAAATTATTCAAGGAAAATGTACAATTACGTATTTCTGACTTCAGTACTACTCACGTAATTGAATCCTGCCTTAGGGGGCAGCTAGGTGGCACAGTGGATAGAGTACCAAGCCCTGAAGTCAGGAGGACCTGAGTTCAAATCCGGCCTCGGACCAAACACTTGACACTTACTAGCTGTGGGACCCTGGGCAAGTCACTTAACCCCAATTGACAAAAAAAAAAAAAAAAGGAATCCTGCCTTAGTAACTAGACTTGTTTCTTAATGGAATACTGTTTAGCTTCATTTTTGATTTTCCCATCCTCCATTCCCCCCCAAGAAGGGGAGGAAGGGGGAAGAATGTAAAGATATAGCTAAACAATATTCTTCCATTAAGAAACGAGTCCAGTAACTTAGGCAAGATTGGTTACTGTGAACATGTGGATATAGTAAACTAAGATATGGATCTAGAATTTTTCAGCAGCTATTACTCAGACTGCTGAAAAGTTAACCCCATGAGGGACTTTCAGTCCACCTCATCTTAATGGCATGGGACATATACAGTATAAAGCAAAGAATATTACAAGGGCATGCTTCTAAACGTCTATGATTTATTCCTAATGTATACTCCTATCTAGTTAAGATTTCCTAATATATTAGGTACACCAGCACTTGGCTTACTAGTTGTCATTTTTTTTAAACAAACCATAAAAGGAACAAAAGACATTAAGATCTCAAATCATCTTATTTCACAATCTCTTGTTTATGACATCAGTTTCTATCAGTAATCCTGACTGATAATCAGACCTTCCTCAGTAGCATAGTCTCATCAAAATTTTCCTCAGTTATTCATAAGACCGTAGATTTAAGCTGGAAAATTTTTTTTCAAGATTATCGTAATTTAGCAGTTCTCAAATTTTTTCATCTTAATACCTTTTTACACGCTTAAAGTATTAAGGATTCCAAAGAGCTTTTGTCAGTTAGATCCATCAACATTTACTATATAAGAAAGGGAAAGGGAATATGCATTTATATAGCGCCTACGATGTGCCAAATGTTGAGGTAAGGGCTTTTTATAAACATTAATTTATTTGATCCTCATGAGAAATGAAAACTGATCAATTTTTAAAATATTTATTAACTCATTTTAAAATAACAAAAACCATTAAATGTTAACATTTTTATGAAAGACTGTATTTTCTAAAACAAAACAAAAAGTATACAGAAGTGATGCATTGTTTTACATATTTTTGAAAATCTATTTAATGTCTGACTTAATAGAAGACAGCTGGATTCTCCTTTCTGCTTCTTTACTTTCTGTTGCTCTGGTTGAAGTATGTAAAGAAAATCTGGCTTCACACTGACACAAAATTGCAAAAGGGAGGAGCATTTTAATATTTTAGTATTATTATGAAAAATGTCCTTGCAGACCCCCTGAAAGGGCCTCAGGGACTGTTGGGATCCACAGACCATACTTTAAGAACTAATGATACAGTTTAACTCCCTTTTTAGAAATGAGAAAACTGAAGTCAAAAGGCAAAGTAACTTGCCCATGGTCACACAAGTGAGAAAGGCAGCATTTGAACCCAAATCCTCTGGTACTCTTTCCATCACACTATGCTTTCTAAACATTTTGATTATTCTTAAAAAAAAGGTTTCAATTAAATTGGTATTCAGTCTTATAATATATCATATGCCTTAAAGTTTTTACATTTTAAAAGATTTATTTGAAAGAAGTTTTTGAAACAGGCTCAAACGAATTACTTTGACACAGGAATGAGAAGGTTAAAAATAAATTACTGTTTTAAATTGTCAGTTATATATTAACTTAAAACTTGGTCATGAAAGTTTTTTAATTAGACAGGGAAAACTAAAACATCATTAACTATATTTTGAAATATGTCACATTTCTTAACTGTAAAACAGATACCTTAAGAAAAGCTCATCCATCAAGCCCAAATCATGTTCCCCCCAAGCCCTTTAAGCTAAAAACTGAAATCCAACTGAAGGTAATATTGAAAAATCAATGCTTTTCCAACAAGGTTATATTTTAAGTCTCCTAAAACTAATGAGTGGAGAATGGTTTAAAATAAATAATGGGAAAAACAGCCTGACTCTAAAGGTCTTCTAAAGCCCTACAATGTTATTCCTTTTGTTGTGACAATATTCATGATAAAGAAGTACCCTACAAGCTAGCTCTCATGCCTTCTCATCATAAACTTTTTTTTTTTTTTTTTTAGAAAGTAACTGTAAGATCCTGGACAAAGTGAAAAAGTCCATGTGCCTGATCAGACAAAACAAAATCTATTCTACTTTAAAAGAAAAGAATTGTTATTGATGTGTCATTTACTATTCACAACAGTAAACAATAAATATTATTGCTGTATGTTAAAAACAAATAATAAGCACCCTAGTTAACTGGCAATGAAAAATTTGTTGACTCTTGATAGTTCATAAATTCCACCAGAAGCACTTTGCTGCTATAACTGATAAAACATGGTATCCTGCTACTAAAAAAAAAAAAATAGAGGCATGTAATATCCACTTAGATTGTACTACTACCCATTTTCCAGGTCATTCAACAACGTGGAGTAAGGCTTCAATATTTTTCACAAGTACTGCAGAGGTGACTGCATGTCAAGAAACCATGAAAATCAGCAACTGCAGAGTTAAATCAGATCTTTTACCCTTCAAAGTCTGAAACCAGTTATCACTATAATAATAACTCATTAAATTATAAGTATCAACCCTGACTCTTCAAGTCAAATCACAATAATGGCATAATGTTTTTTAAAACATAAGATCATGGATTAGAAGGGACCTCAGAGGTGATCATGGCCAACATCTTCATTTTTACTGATAAAGAAACTAAGGACCCAATAATGAACCCAAAAGCCCAATAAAAGACCATAATAAAAGGGAATGGAAAAAATATATATAAAATCACTTGAATAGCCCTGCACAACCCATTCACCATCACCCATTTGCAGAGATTTATTTTTAAGAATCCAAAACAAAAAAAAAAATCCAAAACCATAAAAGCTCCCCCAAACAGGTTAATTATTCTAGACACTGCATTTCAAACCCTCGGCAATTAAACATTCCTGCCTTGTGATTCTCAGTCTACAGAACTGGCTGGTGGGGCTAATTGCTTTCCTGCTTAGGTTAGCCTCCATTTTGACGCAGAAAAATGTCCTTCCAAGCTGACAATATATTGGTTGGAAATGAAGTTCTCATGTTAAGACAATCTTCTTGAATCTTCCACAATAGCATAAAATTAAAGAGTTTTGGTGGTGGTTGTTTTACGGCTTGCCATGGCCATGTCGATGTTATTATTTGTGCCAGAAATTTCGTTTATTTAGAAATTCAGTGGCGATATTCCTTCAGTTTAAATGGTTGTCTGTCAAATAAGAGATTTAACATCTTATTTTGACAAAATCTTTCTGGTTCAGAACAATGCCTATTAAGAGGAAGGCATACCAAAAGCTGAGCTAATGCCAAGATACAGCAGCCTGAGGGAGAAGGAGTACAATGCCACAATAGAAGTAAATTAATTTTTTTGTAGCCATTGAACAAAAGCTACATTGTAACTATTGTGGGAATCTCACAATTTTCCCTGCATAAAACTAACTGCTTTTGTTACATCTCCAAATTGGAATAAATTACTTCCAAAAGGAAAAATTGTGGTCCCTACTTTCATGTGGGGCAGGGGAGATAATTAGAGACCTTCAAGTGAATCGACTCCGCCATAGCAGAAGAGTCAAGACTGTAGGTTGGGCCATTTAACCATTTACCAGTTTGGGTTTTTTGGTTTGATTTGGTTTTGAGGGTCAGTAGAAAAGTGCCCTTCATTTCATTCGAGCTGTAAAAGAATGGAAAGGAGAGCCCAATCACGATCCTGTAGCAGCTGGCTGGCAACTGCAAAGGTAAAGAGAATGAGGGAAGGGGGAGAAAGGGCAGAAGCAGAGAGATGTGAAAACCTGGTGAGGAAGAACAAAGGATAATTCAGAGGGAACTACTGCGCAATGGGGGGAAAAAGGGAAGGAAGTAGGTGCAGAAGATGACAAGGAGAAGCTGGAGAGATAGTGAGGGCAAAAATAAAATGCCGTTACAGGAAATTCAGGAACAAAAAGACTTGATTAGGATCTGTGATACAGAGTAACAGGTAATAACAATAATAGCATAGATCCGTAACAACAATAGCAATAATAGCTAATATTTATTTATATATCGCTTTAAGGTTTGCAAAGCGCTCTACCAAATACGATCTCACCTTAGTCTCACAACTACCCTGAAAAGTATTATTATGTGTACAGCATTTTAAAGTTCGCAGACCGCTTTCACATATTTTATTTTACTGGATCAGATTCAGATGCTCTTCTTTCAGCAACGGGAGGAGGGGGAGAGAATCGCAGGAATGAGAAAGGAGGGGGCTCGGGGATGGGAGGAGCAAAGGGAGGGCTCGCGCGAGCCGCAACAAGGGGTGCGATTTGTAGGCGGAGGAAACTGAAGGTGAATGCTTCACGCATGGCTGGAGATGGCTACAGAATACCGCAGCGGGGGGCGAGCGCGGCCCCGGAGGCCGGGCAGGGGAGGGGGAGGGGAGAGAACGGGTGGGTGCGGCCCTTCCCCAGAGCGCTCCCCGAGGCGCCATCTTGGATCCCTCCAGCCGCAACAAACGGATCGGCCCCGCAGCGAAGCGCGACCGAGGCCGGACCCCGGACACGCTCCACTTACCGAGGTGCTGGCAATCGCACGCTCAGTGCTCCCAGGAGTAAGCGGCTGAGAGGCGGCTTGAACCGGCTTTGCGTCGCCCCCCTCCACCTCAGCAGCTCTCAGGTGATCTCGACCGCTCAGAGACGCCCCCCCCCCGCCCCGCCACCGGAAACGCACCAGCCACGACCAATCAACGCCCGATCACTGACGTCAATGGGCCTCAGTCTGGTCAAAGTGGTTGCCCTAGGCAACCTTAAAGGAGAAACCAGCACCCCTCCCCCCTTCACAGTCCCTCTTTCGAACCCCACCCCCCCTCCCCAGAGACCCTTCTACCCTTGGCCCCTTTCTCCTCTTATCCTACTCAGTAGCCTTCCCCCATTCCTCCCCTCTTGCCCTCCTCCCTTCTCTGTCGGGTCTTTCTCTCCCCCTCCCCGCGACCCTCTCACCTGCTTGTCCACAATCTTTCCTCTTCTGGCCCTCCTTTCTTGCTCGCTCTCTATTTCACTTTTTCTATAGCTTTCTTTCTCTCTGACTGTCTCTCCTTTTCTCTTTGTCTCGTTTTAAACCCTTTGTGTCCAGACTGTCTCCCAGGCTAGACTGTCTGCCTGGGTCTCCCCTTTTCTCCCAGTCTCCTCCTTTCTCTCCGTCCGTCCGTCCGTCCGTCCGTGTATCTCTGGGTCTCCCCGAGCTCCACCTCTTCTCCCCGGGCCCCACCTCTTCTCGTCGGGCTCTTCCTGTCGCTTCTGCTGCACCCCCTTCCTCGTCCTTCTCTTCCTCTCCTTTCCTCCGCCTCTTCTGACTAGTCTGTCTTGTCTCCCCCTTTCCTAGCCCCAGACTACATCACGTGGGCGGGGAGGAGGGGGTGGGGAGGCGCCTCTGCAGCTGCGCCCTCTTCTCTGCAGACCCTGTGCGGGGTGGGGCTGAAAAGGGGGGTTGGGGGGGAAAGTTTCCTGCTGTTACTAAGGCCCGGGTGGATGCTGAAGGACTGCGGCTACTGCGGCTGAGGCTGCGGCTGCGGATGCGGCAAAGCTCTGCTGCCATGGCAATTGCTGCAGTGTCTGGCAGCTGTAGTGGCACGTCCTAACCTGGCCGCTCCCTGCCCGGAAGGCTCCTGGAAGCACTGGGTGACAGTCTAGGATGTTCTCTGCAACTAAAACACCATCTAGTCCAGCCCCATCATTTTTCAGAGAGGGAAACTAAGGTCCAATAAAGAAGCGGATCTGACTCTCTTTTCCTAGGGACTAAGTAGCATAGTCGTAATTCCAACCCAGGGACCGTGGGAGTCGGGTTTCGAGTACAGGTGACCTGACTCCAAACTCAGTGCTCTTTCCTCTGACATCTTATCCCCTCACCTTTTTCCCTTAGCCCAATTTCATCCTAGTTGTCATATATTGCGTTAAAGACCTCTCAGGGTCCTGAAAGAAAACACGTTTAAGCCTTGGACTCAACAAAGGAGAACTGCTTGTTCCTGTTGTAAATGAAAATCGATCATCCTGGGATCTGTGATTCGAATTAGAGCAACCATGAAAATGCTCACAAGCTGATGAGCCAAGGTTATGAAGGAAATTAGAAGTCTTAAGTAAAAATCAGGCCTAATAGTTTTAAAGAATAAACATACTAAGAGCTTCTAACGTATATGTTGCTCTAAAGCATATTATGTCATTTCACTGTACCACTGAGGGAAAAGCCAATCAGTCTCCTCTTAGGTGCATCATCACCAATTTTGGCAAAGGTAGAAAGAAAAGGAGAAAAAAAATCTCACCAAAAAAAAAAAGCTATCTTCACCACTGCTTCAGAATTCTATAAATTGGATTGTTTTTAAGACATATAATCTAATCATCTCTCACAACTGCATGTCGACACTTCCCTCCAAGCCTGGTTGCAAAACTATAATGATGGGGGAGGAAGGCAAGAATAAATTCAAGGATAAAATGATTCCTTTGATCATCATTTCTTCCCAGGCTCTGTCCCTTGCTGATGATTCCTACCTTCAAGGGAAAAGGGGGGAGGAGCAGTTGTTTCAGAAGGATTGTTTTAAGACTTTAATTAAATCTTACTGATAGGCACATATATCTTTCTGTATGCTTTTGTACTCTTTTCATTTATTTCTGCAGAACCAAAAGAATGAGCTATGAGTGTTCCAACAGGAAAGAAACAAATAAAGCATTTTTTGATTTATGATTGTCCCTCATATCAGATAGCTAAAGAAGCACAGTCAAGGGCAGAAAAGCAGACTGTGAACAAAATGAAAAAGAGAGCAAAATCTAATAGAGACTTATTTTATAGCTGAAGTCTCTCTCTCTCCCAAGGGTGTTCTGTGATGAACATCACAGGTGACATTTATTCTGTGGTATGCCTGGTTTAGTTGGAATGGTAGGATAAAGACAGCTTCTTTCACACAGGATTTCACACCTAAGAGCAAACACAGAAGGGACTAATAAATATGCCCTCAGCTGTCATGCAAAAGAAGGGAATAGGATACTGTGAAGCTAAAGGGTCACTCAAGCTACAAGGTTATGCCCTTTTTGGACTGTGTGGGCTCTGTGCCATGTTTGGTTTTGGTGCAATATTTTGATGAGACAGCCTCAGAGGGCTTGAGAGAAAAGGAGCAGTAAACTGAGAATATTACACATTTTCTCCTATGTTATTTGAGTGACAGCTGCTTACTCAGTAAAGAATGAGGTTTTTATTCCTACCCATCTGCAATATAGGCACTATTCCAACGAAGGGCAAGGACCATACTGTTTTCTCTGTCAATAGTATTAGCCTTGTTCCAAATGCTAAATCTATATTTACTGTAGAGCTGGAAAAAAAAACAAAAACAAACAGGAAGAGAAGCTGCATATGGCTGAATTTGAGTGGGGTTTACTAAGACAACTGGTGATTTATTTTTTTAAGTCATGATGGCTTATAAATTGTACAGATTCCCCTTGATAACTCCAGATAGGTGAATGCCAGATTATATATGACATTTCTCAATGAATGTCCTTATATCACAATATGGAATCATTGCCACATTGTGCTTACAATGTAAGATTCCTCTATCCCCAGATGTCTACTGTTCTTAATCCAAAACCTCTTTTCCTATTTCCTTGAATAAATCTAGCAAACATAAATGAAACTGAGGAGTAAAATTAAAATAAAAGAAATAGAGCCCCTGAAAGCCTTCATTGTATTTAAGATCGCTCTTTCCCAAGGATAAATTTGTAGACTTCCAGTGAGAACAATTAAGACAAATTCTATCCTGTTTATGCTGTTCAGTCATGCTGAATGTTTTGCTTCTTGTGGATCCAAAAATATTCAAATTGCCCCCAATTTTGCAGATTTCAAACACAGCCTTCCCTTAGGAAACATTCGAATTACTGGAAAGCCATGCTACTATGGTTTGCATGTAGTGGAAAGAGCACTGAATTTGGAGTTGAGGGGACCTGGGTTCCAGATGGGTCTACCACCACTGTGTGAGCAGCAAACCATTACACATCTGTGGGCCCTAGTTTCTTCACTAATGTGAATGAGAGATTGGACTGGATGAAGTTTAAGGTCCCTTCTAGAATTCCCTGAATTCTATAATCTTATGATTCCCATGGGAAACAATTTTCTATCAATCAAGAAGCATTTATTCAGCCACACAGCTAGGGAGTATGATGTGGATGATGAGCCAACAAAGCAGACAAAGAGTGGTCAAACAGGTAGAAGGAGAACCAGGAGAGAGTATGTAGTATGATGAAAGCCCAAGAGGAGAGAGTATCCAGGAGGAGATGGTGGTAAACAGTGTCAAATGCAGCAGATAAATTGAGAAGGATGAGTGCTGAGAAAAGGCTATCAGATTTGGCAATTAAGCAAGCACTGGTAACTGGAGAGCAGTTTCACTTGAGTGATGAAGTCAGAAGCCAGCTTGCAGAGGTTTCAGGAAGGAGAAAGAGAAGAGAAATTGAAAGCAACAAGTGCTGGGTGATTTATCTTGAGTATTAATAAAAATTGTAAATCTAATTTCATGCAAATGGACAGCAAGGTTCAAATCTCAAATGAATTCCCAATGAAGATGACAGTATGTTGAGGGGCAAGCTAGATGGTGCAGTGGATAGAATACTGACCATGGAGTTAGGAGGACCTGAGTTCAAATGTGACCTCAGATATTCAGTAGCTGTGTGACCGTGGGCAAGTCACTTAACCCTGATCACCCTCCCACATAAAGAAAGTATATTGAAAGTCACTATACTCAATAATAGAATGGTTATAGAGCAAGACGACAGTGGGAAGGATGAATCAGAGAAGGGAAAAAGTGAAAGAGAGACAAAGAGGACCACTCTATAATTCCATACAGGTGACGATAAAACCCTGTATCAGAGTGTAACAGGGAAAGGATGTGAAAGATGCTGTGAAGGAGAAAAAAAATAAGATTTTTTTTTTTGCAGCTGATTGGATTTGTGCATGAGGAAGATGGAAGGGGTAAAGGTAACTCCACAAGGCTTTTAAATCAGATTGAATAAATGACAATTCTATTGTTGGAAATACTACACCAAGCATATGAAGATTTTCCCAGGTGGAATAGGCAAAAGAGAACAATTTGTTCCAATGGCCTTGAAAGTAGCTGAAGCAGGTAAGGCAGAGCACTTAAAGTTTGGTCAGGCATCAAAGACACCAAGGGCATCCACTGTATCTACAGCATCCTGGGCCATCACCAGGCATCTTGACTTTTGTTTTACAATTAGAATTTGATGACTCAGGAAGAGAGAATGAGGCTGATGACTTTGTGCAATTCTGCCTACTTAAATCCAATTCACATCTAAGTCAAGATATCACTTATGATGTCATTGGTCCTCTTTGAAAACAAAGGATAAACAACAACTACAACAAGATAAAATGAAGGAACAACTTCTTGCAGAAATGTAACAGTTACTTTTGGACATGTTAAGTTGGAGATGTCAATGGAAAAGCCAAAGAAATTCTATAAACAAGTGAAGATACAGATCTAGACCCTTAGAGAGAAGGCAAGGCTAGAGATAGAGGTTTGGAAGTAATCTGTGCAAATCAATAGAAGATTTGGTAAGCACCAAAAGAGATCATCAAGAAGAGGAAGAAGAGTGAGTGAAAGAAACACTGTGATCAGATAAATAAGCAGGAGAAGAGCCAAGAGAATGTGGAGTTTTTGAAACCAAGAGTGCAAAGTGTTACCACAATCAGGGAGGCAGTGAAGCTGAAATATATGACAAGAGGGCTGCAGTATTCAGGGAGCCCTAACAAAAGCACCATTCAGCCTTTTTCTCACACTGAAGCTGCCTATAGGCAGTAAATAAAAGCAAGGAAAAACAAACCCTTCTAACTCTCTTTTTTTTTAAATATTCCCCCAATACCAAATGTCCTGGCTGGTATTTAGGTTGGCCAGTTCTAATGAAACCAGAGTTCTGTGTAATGACAGCAAAAAGGAGCAAAAGAAATGGGTCAGACCTCTTTATGACGTTAGTAGTATGACTCAGGGCTGGGGGAAGGGGGAAGAAAGGAGGAGAGGGAGGAAAGCATTATTGTTAGGTGGCTTTCCTTGTATGTCTGGTTTAGTGTTCCCATTATTGTGGACCATGCCTCAAGCAGGCTTAAGGTTTAAAATATAATAAGCCCTTGTGGAGCACAAAACATAATTAAAGCCACCTTTACTAAGAAAGGATTAAAAAGAACACAATTTCAAAGATAAAAAGAGATAAAATACTGCC